GGGGGGGGGGGGGGGGGGGGGGGGGAAATGGCTCCCACTGAGGGCCCCCCACCCCCTGTGCCAGGCACAGCCTGGCTGGGGTCCAAAGCCAGGGTGCTTGGGGGGGCACATTTTTCCCTCCAATCCCTCCTCAGCTGGCCTGTCGGCCAAGCAGAGGGCTTGGCTGGGTGATTGGCCCGGCTCAGGCAGGGAAGTAAAGCACCCAATGCAGGTTTCCCTGCAGCTGGGAGCCAGGCCAATCTGTCCGTGCCCCCTGCCCCTGATGGAAAAAGCTCCTATTTGAGGACAGACAGAATTGGGCCTTAGTTTCCTCATATCCATGCTGCTTTGACTTTAAAGTACAAATATTAAATGACTTCACAGCATGCATGCTAAAGGTAAATTGATGGGAGACAAGTCACTGAGCCCCATGGAACCAGCGTATACATACCGGACCAGTAGTCAATGGAGCTCACTGATGCCTATAGTTCTTTTATGACACCAGCCTATGGTTCTGGCCACTGTTTGAGAGAGCATACTGGCATAAACTGCCCACTAGAAAAAGAAACCTCAGTACAGGGCTGTCCAGCTTCTGACAGGCTTGAGGCCACATGCCCTCCCGGCTGGACTCTGTCTCTTCTGCGACCATGCCGCATAGAATATCCCCCTCCCCCCAGTGCTGTACTGCACAGAGTACCCCCTGCTCTGTCCCATCCAGCCATCCTGCCCTGCAGGGTGGGGGCAGGAATTAGAAGGCAGAGCCTGAAGAGCCTGGTGACAACAGCAGGGAACAGTGGAGGGAATGGTGCACAGACCAGAAGCCTATGGGCCACAGGTTAACCCCTCCTGGGCTTCATGTGGCCCGTGGGCTGCCAGCTGGATAACTGTCTTAGCATATTAATATTTTAGAAGCACCGACAGCTTCTTTATTTCAACTAATTTTGCAGAGGGAGTGGACTCCTAACTTGGCAATGTTGAAGACAAGCATTTTACAGCATCCTTTAGACACATGGCTGTAGAGATTTTGCTTTACACTGTTAGACTAACGAAGAAAATAAGTAAGTAAGTATACCATTGTGTTTTTACAGATAGTGTCTGTGCCCATACATGCGTGTGCATGCGTGCGTGCGTGTGTGTGTGTGGAGACCAGAAAATACACTAAAACATACAGAGAGCACTTGAAAGTACTCATTCTATAAAAAGCAATCACTTGCAGGAAAGAACAACAGAGCAAGCAAACTAAAAGAGGATGCTTCTTCTGCTCAATATTTCCTACACATGAAATGTATCTGGTTTTCCATTCAGCTTGGTGAATATTACTGCTGTGAACTTTACTTTTTATTGCATTTTCCATTTCTATTGCCTATTTCATTAATAGCCTCCTAATAGCCAGTGCTGTAATCCCATCTTTGAAAAGGTTTGCAAAATGTATTACTAAATACACTCATCAATTTATTAATGCCATAATAAACAACCTGTCTTTAAATCACTTTTATAGTTACAAACAGTACAAAAATACAATTTCCTAGGGAGAACCTGCCTTTACTGAATAATCT